CGAACTGGCGTCCGATATTTCGCGCCTCTTAGAAACTTCAGCTATTAAAACCTCGTTGAATGCCACGCGAGCCTTTGTACCACCACCCTTTGATAAAGAAAGAAGGGGTTTTCTACGAAGTTCGAGACGAGAACGCAGGAATGGCATACGATGTTGCCTGCGCTGCTTCCGGAGCTGCGTGAGCCGTTATGTTGCGAGCCGATCGTATCTTTTCGTTCCGTCCTGTTCCGGGCTTTCGCTCACCGAGCTCCTCCGCCCCGAATTCGGAGGCGCCGTGCGAAAATATCTGGCGCTGCAGATCTTTCGAACCGCTCTCGATTTTCGGAAAAGGGGAGGAGCCTAGCTGCCGTGCGATTTTCGTGTGCGGTTTTCGCACAAAATTCGGCTTTTTTTTGCAAATGTGTTCCCGGCTTTCTGGTTGGTCAAGAGAGCATGCCAAGCCCTCTTTCCGAGTCTGCCGCACGCCCTGGCTCTGCCCGCGCCTCCCATTGACCAAACTCTCTACATATACGGCTCTGGCTACACCCTTTGTAACGCCCTTTGTAACGGGCGGCAGCTTGCGCCACCTAGCCTGACATTTCGTCGTCCCTTCTATTTTTTTTTAATTTGTATGAATTTTGTTATAACAGTCCCCCACTCTTTTAAATTGAATTTATTGCCTATTTTTTATATGTATTTTTTTATCCTTTCCTAGATCTCTTCCACCAATCTTCTAATCTCCTATTAGTTACCGCGATTCTTTCCCTATCCATTCGTCCATCCATGTCCGGAAAACCCAGTGCCGCCTCTAAATCCGTAGTCATCCCCCCCCAAGAGGGTGGGACGAAGCCCCGTGCACCTTAAGATTACATGTTCTATAGTTTCCCTTTCGCGGTTGCATACGTCACACAGAGTGTCTACTTCCTGAAATTTAGCCCTATACGTTTTCGTTCGCAGCACCCCCGTTCTAGCCTCAAACAACAAAGAGCTCCCCACTGAGTTATCATATAGCTGCTCCTTCTTTATTTCTTGTCTTTGTGCCCTGTATATTGCTAAAGCCAGTGTTGCCAGATGGAGAAAAAAAAAGTCAGCAGATTGATCCCCAAAAAGTCAGTAGATTTGCACGAAAATCAGTAGATTCCACGAAATGTGTGTTTTGCCATGTTTTGCTATCTCCATTAAGACACACTTCGAAGAAATAGTATAGAGTAACAAATCACATGGTAATAAACACAAATAAAAATGAAAGGAAAAAACAGGACCAGTTATCGAGTAACTTTATATGAAGGACAAATTAAAATGGCACCATAAATGTTTTTGTTTTAGTCATTATTGACTGTTTCGAGGATTATTCTTTGAAATCAAGACTGAGGGCACTTTTGGGATCACAGATGAAGGCGACAGTGCGACGTTCACCTGTCGTTATTATTGAAACGAAACCGAAACAAGACGCTCCGGCAAGTGCGCGCGAACATGTTCAATGGAAGTCCTCTGCATGCTGCCATCTTTCCTTACTGGGCTGTGGAAGGTTTTTGAAGCAACGCTGTTGGTCCGGAGCACTGTTAAGGCTACGCGTCGTCTGCTGCGGGCTTATTCCTTTTTCGCCTGACCCAAAGTTTGCGTTCAAACGCGGAGAAACTTCATTCGTTAGCTTTTTAAGCCACCGAGGAATAGGATTATATCATTTTCTTGCCACAGTCTGCCAAATAAAAGAAAATAACTGAAATTTGGATGTCGATCCCATGCATTCCGCCGAACGAATGAATGAAAATTGCGGCTCTCTCCGCTCAACTCGTAGATTGTAAAGGAGCAGCCGAGAGTTCAGGCGCATGCGCAAACACCTCTCGCTCTGCGCCGCGGGCTGATTGGCTCACGCGGGAGAGGGACGTTACGGCGAGATCATAGACTAGCCAAACTCTTTCCATATATGGCTCTGGCCCGGATGACACCGTCGAACCTGCCCAACCTGCCGAACCTGCTCTGGGTGAATAGATAGATGAATATACGGCTACGTCACTCGAATAGGACGGGCTTCTGGACCATCTAGACAGTGCTTCGTTTTTAATTTTTGGGACATTATGAGTTTCCTTTGATGGGCGACACTGGGAACTGAAGGGGCCATATGATAAATTTTTAATATGTTTACTAAAAAAAGTCAGTAGATTTTCTTGTTTTTCACTGAATCAGTAGACCCGGAACAAAATCAGTAGATCTACTGATAAATCAGTAGACCTGGCAACACTGGCTAAAGCTGATTTCCCCTGCATTCTCTCTTCCCACAATTTCCTCTCTGTTTCCTTTACTCTCTTTTCTACTGATATAGGAAGCGAGCATGCCGGCCGTGTCGCAACGGTCGCCTATTGTTCGCCGCGACCTAGCGGTAGCCGCCGCAGGAGCGTCGGGGAGCAATGGCGACGAACAGCACAGAGGGCAGTGTCCCCGTCGTGATTACGAAGGAATTTAAGGCAGTTACGAATTCGGAAAGTTCCTTCGGTAGCCGGTGCCGTCGGCGCAGAATCATCGGGAAGTAATCGCAACGAACACCACAGAGGACAGAGGGCGATTACGAATCCGGAAAACTTCTTCGGTAGCCGGTGCAGAATCATCGGGGGGAAGCAATGGCGATGAGCAGCACAGCGGACAGTGTTCCCGGGGTGATTACGACGGGGTTTAAGGCGGTTACGAATCTAGAAAGCTTCTTCCGTGGTACCAATATAAAAAAGGGAAAGCTCCCTCGTGAATCTGGCCGCGTGTACGACGTGAGGGAGGTCCGTTTCGACGGACAAGTGGATGTCACGGAGCGCCGTACTCCGCTAACAAAATTAAGCATGCCCGCAAAAAATGTAGTTGGCGTTGAGTGGGCCGTGGTAATTATGTACGTTTACTTCTGAATCAGCTTGACAATAACTGGGCGATTTTTTTCGCGCCGTTTTGCGATTCCCACTACTATCTTCCTGTAGGCTGATGGAAACATCCAAGTGTAGGCTTAGGTGGGCGACCGCACTCCGCTTCTCGATTCCGGTGAAGTATTTGCCGCATACTTTAGAGTTTGCCGTCGGTGTCGATGCTGTTCCATCGTCGCTAGAATAGAAAAAAGTTATGGCGAATTCGCGTGGTCATTTCCCGGCAAAATATTTTGCCATATCTCCGCCAAGGGCGTTCGCGTGGTCAAAGGCTGGCGAGTGCGCGCCGTTCGGGTGGCACTTCTCAGGCGTGTGCTGGCAATTTACCGGCACAATTTTTGCCCGAGCTCCAAGAGGTCGGGCAGCTTGTCTGCCAGACTGTATCCGGTATCGTCATATCCGAATCGGGAAAGGGAACCAAACAAAACAATGGTCGCCGATAGCGGATTCGAGTAGAAAACGAAGCCATTGAGACAGACACCCCTCTGTGGTCCGAGAAAGACAGCAAAAACAACGGATATAAAGATAAAATATTTTAAAGGAAGCTTCCGTAAGATCAGTTTCCTATGGGACACAGCGTGTTATTACACCGCTGTAAAAAATGTATTGATAGTGCTGCAGCTCAACACTTGAACGCGCATTACTATTTTAGAGGGCTGGGTCAAATCAAAATGCTGAGGATTCCAGCAAAAAGGTAATAACAAGAAAATGGAATATAAAATGGCGACGCTGGTGAGCCTTCTAGGATCCTTGTAAGATGGCAACAGTTCCTCGAGAATCTAAACAAAATATATCGCAATTTGTTTACCCACATCTTAGAATCCGAATATATGTTTCTGATGCCTAGAGCGTGCCTATTGTATCATAAAATAATCGTGGAAGAAGTTAACGAAGTTCACGCGCGACCCAGGCAGACGAAAACGCCAGTTGCAGGCGCTTTGTGTTCGGGTGGAGAGGGTCACGTGATGCGCCGCTGGCGCGGTTTTCGTTGCCTGTGCCGCCGGCGTGAGCTCGCCGGCGATTGACCACCCGAATTCGCCATCAATTGTATTATTCGTCAGCAGCTTAACAAAGCGCGAACAGAAAGGTAAGAAACGCCACTAACCTGTATGGACGCACAAGTCGCACCTGCAGGTCGCGCAGTACTCCGCCTCGTACGGCCGTACGGCTTCGAAGGGACGATGTAGTTCTTCGTGCCGTGTGCGATCTTCGACGTACTGTTGCAGCCGACCACGCAGCAATTGTTGCGACTTTCTTGGTGCGGAATAGCCATCTGAGAAATTACAACGCTAACCCACTACAACGCACAACCAACGCAGCGACTGGCAGAAGCTCCCCGATGCGATGGACCCGTTTGCCGCTAGGGGCGCCCTGGTCGGGGCTTGAATTAGATGCGCACGGTTCCTATGCTCTGACCGGCTCCATCTCGTTGAATGTATTATAATCTCAGCTTGCGGGTTCGGTTTGTCCACCTAGCGTTTAGACTTTTCATATATAGATACTTGTACACTTTCGCTGTCCACCGTGTATCCTCAATTTCAGGTAGTCTTTGTTGAAATTTTACTTTACTGATCGCTTCTCTACTCTCGAAAGATGCCCAACCCATATCCCCCTGTACTCCCTCATTTGGTGTATTCCCATGTGCCCCCAATGCCAACCTACCCACACTCCTTTGTTGTATCTCTAAACCTGCCTGAATTTCTGACCTCATACGACGCGCGACTAATATCAGTGTTGCCAAGCTGCTTCAGTCGGTAGTTTCGTTTTCGCCGTGCCGACGGAACGATACTTGGATTCGTGATATCTACAAAACTATACACGCTACCGAAAAACAAATTATATCTGCTGAATCAGTGTCGCAGACTTCGACTAAACAGGTGATAACCTAAAGGTTGTAAAGATGGAGTGGAATTGCCCTTTAAATTACCATTTCATGGTTTGAAAAATATTAGCCCTAGAAAGACGTTCGCTTCTGTAAATATTTCGTCTTTGTGTTTGAGTGGGCGTGTGTTTTTGTTTAATCAAGGTAACATTTGTTTTTTCAAACTATCGCCTTCTGTCTTCACCACTAGCTTGATATATATCGTTTCTGACTGAGTTTCAGCTCTCTGCAATGAATTTTATGTAAGCGGCCTAAAAAAACGGTTTTTATTTTCTTTCAGGAACCCGAAGTAGTGTCATAAGAACTAGTGTCCCCCATTGTAGTGTCACCGTAGCCGGCCAAACGCTCTTCATTGCCACGTTTGTCGTCGCTTGACCGCTTGAGAGTATAGTAGCCGATGATGACAACGGTCACGAGGAAGAGCAAGCCCAAGAGGACTGCCATGATTGTGGCGAGGGACCATCCTTTGTCCGGCTGGGCGTAAGGCGCGGGGGTGTAGGTCGTGGGCGTATAGGGATCGGGCTTGTATGTCATGGGCGTAGAGGTCCTATGAGGTGCCGTCGGGGGCCGAGTCGTTTTCACTGTAGTCGTTTTCACAGCAGCCAGCCAGACCACGGGAGCAATATTAGAGACCTGAGACTGCTTTCCTCGCTTGTTCTTTGTACGTAGTCCCAGGAAGATGCTGCCGGGCTTGTCCTGGGACGCTGAGACCAGTACTTCGGGAAGCCGGACCTTGACTGTGTGGAGACTTCAGGGGCAAGCGACATGAAAGTTGGGAGAGCAAACGCAGCACACATGTTAGGGTGGTTTGTTCGTGTCGTTTATCTCAAGGTGGCAGAATGCATTGTATTACGGGTAGATGTCGCAAGAATCGTTTTTTCTTAATCGTGTTGTCTCCAACAACGAGTCTAGATTTCTAGATTTAAACTTCTGTATCTCAACCTGACGTCACAGGTCGGTGGCTCTAGATTCTATAAATGTTTCAAGAGCTAAGAGCATTCTCGAAAGAGTTCTTAATGTACCCAGGTAACGCTCAATCTTATCTTCAAACGTTCACCACAGTGAACAATGCATTATATTCTTTGATGCAAGCTAAGAAAAAGCAAACTCCTGCTGTCAAGTCAGCCATTCTTTCTACTTTAGCAGAACAATCTCTGGCGATGAAGCAAGTGGACTCTCCACCTCTGCAGCCTTCCTTCCGCTAAAGTGAAAAGAGGGAAGGCATTTCTGAGTAGAACTTTACTAGTTTTGTTAACCTGCATCAGAATATACAATCGAAACTATTCTTAGAAGAATCAGTCATGTCAGCAAAAACATACGAGGGTTACCACTCCCCTTGCAGTGCCCGCGCAGTCCGCAGTCCCCGCGCAGACCTCAAAAGGTTGGAATGGCGCCAATTGTAAGGTTCGAATGGTACAGCCGCCGGCCGTTACATTATCAACAGAGCCGCATGTGAAAACGGTTGTATTTGTGCAGATTACATCTGGAGTATGATTTAATTTCCTTTGCGTCCGTTTTGCTTCATATATAGTTAATTACAGTCAAAATCATTCTTGCAAGAATCTTTTTATGCCGATCAGGCATAATTTTAAAATATAATACCTCTAAATTGATTTTTCTTTGAAGACATCTGTTGTCAACTATCTTATTTTGAAAACATTATTTGCGCGTTCGAATGTACTTCAGAATATTTGTCTTTCTGTTGCGGATCCAGTACACAGGGTGTATTGCATTCGTGATGTTTTGTTTGCCTTAAATTAAATAATGCCATGGTATGGAAAAGGAAGTTTTAGTATGATATGGGATGACTATTTTATTCTGTCGCAACACCAAGCATATTGTCCGTGCCATTTTGATCACGGCTGTTAAAATAGAAGTGATCCGTTGATGTTGATAGGCGTCAACAATCCAATAGAGGTTCGAACGTTTATTATCTGAATGACCGACATGAGTCGTGGTAAGATCTTGATCACATTGGATTCATTCATTTTCGCTATCCTGCCAATTGAAGGAACTCCCCCTTTGTGTGGGGCACCTCCTGTGCCCGTCACCGATACCATAGCTTTCACAAATCCTGATCTATGCGTCTGCGGTGAACATCCTGCACAATGTCGGCGCTCTCAAAGCACAACCATTTCGCAGAAGGGCAAAGAGGCAGGCAAGAAGTGTATGGTCGCCAATCATTGGTGCTACAGACCAAAGATAGAGCCTTACAATTTATAAAAAAAAGTAGTTATAAATGGTAATAAAAGTTTTTGCAATGACATTTATAAACCGATTAAATTATAAATAAAGTCACTTGTACTAAAAAGTAAAGAATTAGTACAATTAGAAATTGCTAGGACGTAGTAAGTTCCATGAATACATTTTTTTTTTGTAATTTAAATACATATACTCGCGTATAAAAGAAAATTGGCGATTCACTGGGATCACTAGCGTAAAACTGAGGGAACACCCTTCGGGCCAGTCGGACCTATTCACGAACCCATTTTCTGGCAAAGGAAAAGCAGAAAATTGCTCTGCAGCCTAACAGCACGAATCAGCGTCAGTCAGTGTTCATTGGCAGCTCTACTCACTTTTGTCGGAACACGTTGGCGTTAAACACGAATGCAGCTCAGCGCTGGTGAGATGAAGGACTGACGGCTTTACTTCACTAACCAAGTATGGTACTTGATACATTTCCTATGTGTCCCTGCACTCCGGTTGTACCGAAGTGTTTAAATAACATCTATAACATTGGAAAATTTCCGCCTATTTGTATGCCATCATGATGTGGTGCAAAGATATCTATTACGCGGATACGGAAGTCGAACTGCAAAAAAGTATTGCTCACCTGAAAGGGTCTTTAGGGGTCAAGTCGCCCTCCAGAACGTCGTCGTTTGTTATCTTCGTTGCTCCCTTAAACTTGTAAACGAGGTCCCTTGATTTTAAGCTCGACCTCAGGTCCAGAGATTTCGCTGTAATCCAAGGCACGTGCTATTTTAGAGCGCAGTTTGTAAGCGTCTGGTCTCACGTAGAAAGGCGTTGGCGTCGCTGTCGGCGTCGGCGTAACCGCGCGCGTTGCATTATGGGACGTCACAGACCTATGCACCAATTAAATTTCCCTCTGTGGTGTCTCATAATTCAACACTGCGCACTCTGTTTCCCCGCTAAATTTAGTGGTAAAACTGACTTAACATGACCTCAACACCAATTCAGTTTACCCTCTAAATTCAGCGGGGAATTGATCTGGGGTTGAAATGATGTAACGTCACTTTTCCAGCTAAATCTAGCGGAGAAACTGAATTGGTGTTGAATTCACGTGGCGTTAAAATTTCAGCTATATTGAGCAGGGAAAGTGAGGGAGGAGGGGACAGTATGGGGGAGAAGAAGGGGTTTGGAGGAGGGCGAGGGAAGCGTACGCAGGAGGAGGGGAGTGTACAGAGGAGGGGGAGGAGGGAATGGAGCAGGAGGGTAAGTTATGGAGGAAGAGGGTAGGAGGAAGGTGGATGAGGGAGCAGAAGACGAGGTGAGAAGGACGGGAGGAGGAGCTTACCCTCCCCTCCGTACCTCCCATTCTCCTCAAGAACCGCGCTCTAATTTCGTATTACAGTGATTTGTAAACGTCTTTGATTATTTCACTGTCATCTTCGCAACTTACTTTCACGACTACACGCTAGACTACGTTTATGTGGTTTACAATCCTTATGGTGGAGGCGGTTAAACATTTATGAAACGATGGGGTGCTGGGCGGTCCCTATCATGATGCTCTTGGGCTGCACCGTAGTGAAGAAAGAACTCGAGGTTTTCTCCGAGGGCGCCTTGAAAAGTCTGAAGGTGGGCAAAGGTCACACAAAATACGTTGACTGTACCAACGAGCTCTAATGCAGAAATGACATGTCTTCAAATGTTTTTCTAATACCAACACGTCTTTCAAGGAGCACTCTATGGAAGAGGGAAGTTAAAAAATAAAAATGATACACCATGTTTTTTCGTTTTTCTTTTTCAGAGGAAAACTTCGGTTGGCACAATGACCATTGTGTCAATAGAGGACAGTGTAGTTTGTATATGCAACGATTGTGCGTCAACGCAGTGCATATGTAGGTTCAAGCAGAAGAGGATCGAAGCGCTTAAACAGCTGTGCTAAGCAAGCGTAACAAAATAAATACGACTCTTATGTTAGGATGTCGGAGATGTATGAAAATGAGAATAAAGAAAGTGTAGAACGTCGGGAAGACCTGCATGGTGTTATTACGCACTGTGAAGTACTGGAGGCAAGGCTTAAACGGCTACTGGATATAAAGTCGAGATACATACCAGTGGCAACGCACAAAAACACAAACAAAACAAGAAAAAAAAAAAAGCAACCGAAGCACGGAGGTTGTTTTTGCTGTAACCCTACATGATGACACACGCGTTCTTCTGGAAACCTCATTGGAGTACAAGTACGTGGGAAATGGACATGAAGTAGAAGTCATAGGACACGTCACAAGGCAAAGAAAGTCAAACGTTCAGTTCCAAAAGCTGCCCAGCGCTTAAGGAAAAGACAACCGCATCTGTGGTGACAAAACGGTCACCCAGAGGGGTTGCGTGGGGAGCGTTGACAAGGGGGGGGGGGGGGGGGGTTACAATGTGTCAAGAATCGCCGAAGCCACTGGCGAAAGTATACGCGAAGCTTCGAAGTGCTGCTTATAATCTGGACAAAACTGGTATGATCACACGATAGGTGCACCTATCACACGATAGATCCGCGGTATGATCACACGATTGGTTTACGAGGCACGAGAGTTCCGCTAATATCCAGTGCTCACCAAACATGTGCGGAATACGCGAACTGGTTCCTAACTTGTGCGTAGGCTATCCTGGCGGCAGCCTTAGAACTGCTTCATGGCGTGTGTTCGATGAAGCAGCCCGTGCACGAGAGACAGCTCGCTCGATGCCGATATCACACATTATATCGTGGACAGCGCAGAAGGTTTGCTTGCCGGACAAGCTGCCTTTCCCCACTCCCCTTTATTCCGCACGATGCATTGATTGATGCCCAAAATGGCGGTGTCTACCGTCCATCCGCGATTTTGACCTTAAGCGAGCGGCCTCCCCTACTTTGGCTGTTCCCCTGAGCGCTACGTCTCGGAACCGGCTTCACACCGCCGCCAGGAAATCGCTCGCACGAGTTGAGACACATTTTGCGTGCTCCATTCAAGGTTGGCAGAGGGCTGTGCTTTCTGCACGCTGTGCTGAACGACGGGATGCAAGAGGATCAATCTGTCAACAGTGCCTCGTGACTGACAGGGTTGGCGTCGCACGAGGCTGCTACATGGAGGAACAAAGCATAAACCCCTCGTCCCGTTTTTTTTTTTTTTTTAAACCTTTGTTTTTTTAACGTTTCAGTGCATTCTTGGCTCTCATTGTGTGCCAACCGAATTTTTCGTTTATTATTATTCTTACTCTTGAGGGCCTCAAAAAGACCTACAACAAGCATGGGAGTCCTGACAATCAAGTCTGTCTCAGAGATCACCCGTAAAAGCGAGGGCTATAAAAGAAGGATTAATGTTCAAGAGTACCAGGCTTAATTTATTATGCAAGATTTTGAGTAGGTTGAGCTCAGAAGGGGAGATGTTTCTGCCAAAGCGAACACGAAAAAGGCGCAGGACTGCACCGTGGTTCACCCGGGGTCCGATTTTGGTCTTGGTGAGAGCGAGACAATTTTAGGCTGCAGTGCTGATTGGACGTGGTGCCGCAGCTTGCACGTAATCAACCAATGAGACATTTGTGACCCGTTCTTGAGGTCGCAATCGGGCCATATTTCAATGACAACGCCTCAGCAACATGCAAATCGCGAGAGACGCCTCGCGGCCTCTGATGTTCTTCTTCATACAACTTCTTCATCTCCCAGTTTATGTCAGCTTTAGTATGTGCAGCAGAATAGCTTGAGATTTGCAAACGAAGCGCGATCTGTCCACTTTTTCCACGTGAAATAGCAGAGGATCACAACATCAGTTTGTGTCCGATCCCACTTGGCCGCGGCGCTCGTTTTGCAGCATGTGAGAAACATTTCTCCGCCTGTCAAGTGACCACGTTTGGTGCTTTTGTTATTTTTTATTTACGTCTGCGAATGACGCATCGTGGCAGACGAACCATGTTTCTAGTTCGCGTTAGCAGACGAACTGTCTACAAACGGTGTCTTTATTCTCTCCGCAAGAGGAAAATTATATTTCTCCCTGTTGCGGTGTGGAACATTTACCCCTAGTTAGCCACTGCTTGGTGTAAAGTACGAACCATTTTAGATATAAACATGGGACAGCAACCTGAAAGCCCCCAAATGAGGGCGAAAAAAAAGTGAAAGCTGCTTACAACTCCCTGTAACGCCGAATTAGAGCGCAGCTCTTGAGGAGGAGGAGGGAAGGGCATTGGGGGGGGGGGTTTAAACTAACCAGGGGGGGTCACGTGACCTTGGGGGTCACGTGACCCCCAATGCCGATGATGTCATCACTGATGTCACTGATGACGTCATCAGTGACGATGACGATGCGGGTACCGATGACGTCATTAGTGACGTCACTGATGACTTCACCAGTGATGATGACGATGACGATGCGAATGTCGGTGATGTCATCAGTGACGTCGCTGATGACGTCATCAGTGATGATGACGATGACAATGCGGATGTCGGTAACGTCATCAGTGATGATGACGATGACGATGCGGATGCCGGTGACGTCATCAGTGATGATGACGGTGACGATGCGGATGCCGGTGACGTCATCAGTGACGATGACGATGACGATGTGGATGCCGGTGACGACATCAGTGACGTCACTGATGACGTCATCAGTGATGATGACGATGACGATGCGGATGTCGGTAACGTCATCAGTGATGATGACGATGACGATGCGGATGCCGGTGACGTCATCAGTGATGATGACGATGACGATGTGGATGCCGGTGACGTCATCAGTGATGATGACGATGACGATGTGAATGCCGGTGACGTCATCAGTGATGATGACGATGTGGATGCTGGTGACGTCATCAGTGACGATGACGTCATTGGGGGTCACGCGACATCGGCGGGGGTCACGTGACCTCAGGGGAGTCACGTGACTTCGGGGGGTCACGTGACCTCGGGGGGGTCACGTGCCCCCCCCCCCCGAGGTCACGTGACCCCGGTGGGGGGCTCGCGCGGTGCATTATGGGACATTTCCCATGATGCACCGCGCGGTTACGCCGACGCCGACGCCGACGCCGACGCCGCTCAAGCCGGAACCGGGCCCCTAAGAGCTGCGCTCTAAAACGGGTAGACGCTCAGCAAGAGGAAGAGTCCACATTATCAGCTGAGGTGTTGGCGTGGCCAAGGCGATCGACGCCCACAATCTGACCACAAAAATTGAAACAAACAAGACGTTTTGACGACTCCCTGGCTGCCTCCGGCCTCTAAGTCCTGAGAGCCATGGGTCGATATCGCGCTCCCTTTCTGTTCAAGGCAATAGCCCTGATAACGTCCTCGTAACCAGGAACCATGGGCAGTGTTGTACGGAACGCCGTGCTTGGAACGCCGTTCTGTACAACACTGCTCAGGGGTCCTGGTTACTAGGACGCTGTCAGGGCTATTGCCTTGAACAGAAAGGGAGCGCGATATCGACCCATGGCTCCCAGGACTTTGAGGCCGGAAGCAGCCAGGGAGTCGTCAAGACGTCTTGTTTGTTTCAATTTTTGTGGTGAGATTATGGGTGTCGATCGCCTTGGACACGCCAACACCTCAGCTGATCATGTGGACTCTTCCCCTTGCTGAGCGTCTACCCGTCTTTTCGCCCTAATTTGGGGGCTTTCAGATTGCTGTCCCATGTTTATATCTAAAATGGTTTGTAGTGTACACCAAGTAGTGGCTAACTAGGTGTTAAATGTTCCACACCGCAAGAGGTAGAAATATAATTTTCCTCTCGCGGAGAGAATGAAGACACCGTTTGTGTGTGGAACGCGTTCCTTTTAGAAGGAACGAAGGAACGCCGCCGTTCCATTTTGCATCAATGGAACTGGAACGGGAACGCGTTACATTTTTAAGGGAACGGAAGAAGGAACGGCGTTTCTTTTTCTTCGTCCGGTGGTGTCATTTTTATTTTACTTATAAAAGGGGAATTAAAAAAAAAGTATAAAAATATTATATTTGCGAAGAAAAGGATCTCGTTAAGTTTCTTGTGTCACTTAGGGTTTATTTTGTGGGGTCCTCGCTTGGTAACAGTATGGTGCAGGCTAGTGAACATTGATTCTCTTTTCAGTGCCCGAGACAGGGGTACAAAAATCAAAACATTTAGTCGGAGGAAAAGACAGAAAAAGGGACGTCTCAAACTCAGCTACTTTCTTTGCTTCCCCGAATCCTCATAAACCAAGAAATCTAAGGCCGACTGCAGCCATCACTGAACTGCTACAAAAAAAAAACAGATACACCGAAAAAACAGGTTACTAGACGTTAAACGCACCCTTGTATCCCAAACATTGGTCAGATGCACAAAAATGAACCTTTTTCCCCTCTCCTCTTCTGTCACCTTCAAACTGAACGAGTCCAACCTTCACGAAGACGGACTGGTAGTTTTCGAGACTGACCTTCAAAGAGCCCTACCTTCTTCTCCCCTTGCTCGTCTCGCTGACAGCAGCATCGAGAAGCAACTGTTGTTAAGTTCGAAAACGGGACTTTGTTAGATTGAAACGTGTGAGGTTGTTGCAAAACTTTCGTGTAATGTGGGGTAACAGTACATTTGACTCGTCTGCATAGCCCACCACAAACATGAATATAGTTAAAAGCTTAGATTTTTGCTAACAACAAATGAAAAAATGAAACCTTGCTTCTGCTCGATTTCTTCTACTCGTGCCCCTCCATCAGAGAATTTAAATTCGTACGTTGCTATCTAAAGGAATCGATAAAAAAAAATTGGAAAAAAAACTTGGTTTGATCTAGCTAACTATTGTAATTAGCAAAATACAAATGTAACGTATATGTGACGACACGTTCCATTTCTTAAACTGTAACGAGAACGAGTTCCTTTCTCGCAGATGAAACTTGTAACGGAAACGCGTTCCAAAAATTAAGAGGAACGAGAAACGAGCTTCCGTTCCTCTTCTTGAGGCACGTGTACAACACTGCCCGTGGGACAGTGTACGGTTGGTGTAATCTGAGCTAGTTGGTTACTCATTATGAAAAAACCAGCTGAACTAAGGAAAAGGTAGAGATAGAAAGAAAGACACCCGATCGCTGGATGTCCAGCGATCGGGTGTCTTTCTTTCTATCTCTACCTTTTCCTTAGTTCAGCTGGTTTTTTCATAAAGACAGTGTACGGGCCCAGCGGAGAGTTTCCAGGATTACAGTTACGCGATGCCGCTAACACGGGCTCACCTTGGAGGCAGTCAAGGGCTGACAACTACGGCGAGGTTCTTGCACGCACGGCTGATGGAGCACGCGAAGCTGACTTTCCTAACGAGGATTCTGCAAGTACTAACTGGGAAGGAATTCCAAGGGTTTCTCTGGGTCAGGGGTGGCACCGATACGGGTGCTGCAACGCTATCTGACACCCAAGTATGCAGGTGGTGCTACCCCCACAGCCGTGCAGGTTATGGTAGCCGAGATAGTGGAGCAAAAGTTTAGGGATCCGGAGCAATGGCGGCAGCAGAGGGCTCGACTGTACAACTGAATGAAGAATGGTAAACATATGACTTAAGCCGTGGAGGAATACGCAGAAAAAGGCGACGCAAGGGCCGAGGACACGCCACTGTTACAATGGATTTGCAGAACTTCCCTGGAGCATGGGGAACACACAAATATGGCAGGAACTGTACAAAGGACAACATAACTCGGACAGTCGATGCAGACCGGAAATTCATCTCTTTCTTCTGCAGGGGTTTTGGGGATCTGAGAACGCCGATCCTGATTAGCCCTGATTGAACGATATATTATACTCCACGACAACTTTTCTTGGCAATGCAGTGGAAGGTACAGGCCCGCGTCCCCTCTCCCATTTTGAGTGTGCGCGGGCTCTCGTCCTCTGCCCGGAAATGGGGGAGGAGGAGAGCCTGCGTACACTCAAAATGGGAGAGGGGACGCGGGCCTCTACCTTCCACTGCATTGCCAAGAGAAGTTGTCGCGGAGTATAGGTAGAACTCAAGGCAGCTTGGCCTTTCAGGTCTACCCACTATTCCTCAATCAGAGCCTATCAGAGCTCGGCCTTCTGCCGTTACCACAACCCCTGCAAAAAAAGCAGACAAACTTGCGCTCCGCATACCGCCTTATTGCTCTGGGCATCGGGTCTTGTGCGTGTAGATATATACGAGTTGGGAGAGCGCATCGTTAGCAGTGAGTACAACTGGCTGAAGCTGGTGTTCAGCGAGGAAACTTAAAAAAAAGGGCGGGAGGAATGTCACCAGCATCACCTCCGCCCTAACTCATCCAAAACGAGGTGGCAATGGTTGCGGAACTTTTTGTGAGAAGGGGTGATAGGAGCGGCGCAGCAAGAAAACAGAAGTAGACAACTTAAATGGTTCCCAAGCGGTATTGGAGGAAACCCGGATTGGTCGCGGAAATAGGAGCAGGTATGTCGAGCAGTCAGGTAGCCAACAGGAAGCATCGCATTTGCTTCTGTAGTGGCATATGCGCACACAATCGCAAAAAAATGCCTCTATTTAGCTCTCTGACTATAATGTCAGTAGTACAACACAAAATGTAATTTGTCAGCTGTTCCAGAACGTGCGGTTTCACACGGGTCACCGATCCCAAGAATGGCAGTAAGGACAGTTGACTCTTACCTCTGCCGGTGTCTAAGTTAGCTCCAGTAGAGGTCCATGACAGCGTTACGGTAAGATTGCCAGAGCTCCTTGTGACGTTCTTAACTGCCAAGTCCCGAACACGGTCAGGGGCCAGGTCACTGGCTTTGGCGGCTTTCTTCAGTTGGAAGGCACCGGCATAGGCTATCAGTCTTGTCACCGAGTCCACCAGCGGTGCTTTATCCTGAGGTGGCAGCATTTTGTGCGTCAAAATCCGAACACGCTGAGCGTCGATATTCTCTTATCATCGCTAATGACTGCAGATGATCCAATTTAGTCATCCTAAAACACTTAAGCTTGGAAAAGGCGGATTTGCCGAAAAACAAAAGAACGTAATTGAGAGATTTTTAACACGAGATTCTTAACTTTGGCCTGGATCAAAAACGCAGATGGCAATGGGCTGCACTCCTTGCCTTTTTAGGATACTTAGAGCAAAAGTAAACACTTAACTAGAAAATACATTACTCCCACGAATTCCCAATGACCTTGGAGCCGATAAATTCTGCGCTGTTGGGACGGCTGGACAAGCGTAGGTTTCATTTGGGAGGGGTGGCTGCCGCCATCTATCGTCAAGGACAGCCTTCGAGACAGCGGACACTGCTGTTTCTGCTCTCTTGGCGATTCTAGTGTGTTGGTTCGTCAATTACAGCCCAGCCCCCCCCCCCCCCCCCCCCCCCTCAGCGAGCTCGAAAGCGCAACAATATGTAGAAAGCAATGAGTACTCGTTCTCTCAGACGCGTTCTGTCCACATAGCTAGGGGAGGATTTGGTGCTTTAGGCACTCGGTCTAATGCAAATAAATGAAATGTCTTGTCATAAAAACGTATTTGACGAAAGTGTCGCTTAATTTGTTTTTATTTTTCCTCATGAATCATGGCGATCACTTACGCGCGCACCTGTAAACTGGCCAAGCGCGCGATTATTTCGCTCTGCGCTTGCCCATGCAGTGTTCTTTTCTTCACGGCAAAGGTCCTGTAACTTTTCAGATCAAGTTTTTTTTTTCCCATGAGTGTTCAACTTAATCTATCTAAAACGTATTTTAAACAGACAAAAAATATGTATACCAGATTTCAGTGAACGACGTGAGGAATAAGTATCTTTTTGATCGCATGGTAATTGCTGCGTAGAAGCCCAAGAGGTATTCATAACCAAAGGAAGAATAACTCGCCTGAGCCCACGCCTACTTTCTAATCTTCCTAGTCTCACCCAATGCCTCCAGCACCAAACAAACCAGGAGACGGCCGGTGCCTCGTCAAAAACACTTCCGGATTCTGGGGCTTTGTGTTTCAAAGTTAGCGGCGTAGTACGTTCTCTCTTCTTTTCTTTTCTTTTTCTGTTGCAATAAAAAATTTAATAGTTTTCATTATGAATTCCAGCAAACATGCAACTGGCGCTACAAATTTTCTTTAGACGTATTTGTTTACTACGCTATTATATAAAAGAAGCGAGGAAGAGCCCAGCCTAGAGGGGTAAAGAACCAACACTTTTACACGCTGTCCCACACTCTAGAAAAAAAAAAATTGCAATGATGTTTTGTTTCTGGTTCTACTACGCCCTTTTCATGGTATCAAAATACTGAAAAAGTATTGATGTTGAGGTTACCAGTGAACCTTTAGCGCACTGCAGACTGGGCAACAGGAAAGCAAGTTGTAGCGCCATTGTAAGCGTAACATACACAAGCTCCCTCACTCCGACTTTCTTTAATAGGTCTCGTCAGTGATACTGGTGAGAATCCTGCCGCTTCATAATACACTCTAAAAAACGTTCAGCCTTTCCACTCTCGTGAAGGAGGAGGATGGGCCGAGCTGTTCTCAAAGCACTGCCGCAACGCGCACGCGCACGTTTCCCGTTTCTTCTCGTCCGACACGCCGCCGATCGTGGATACGTCTCTGGCGAACCAGTCCCGTGAAGCGCGCGCGGCGCACGTGGCGCCAAACGGGTAATCCACGAACTCTCTCCGGAACCTCGTCGTCGCGCCCGGGAAGTGTTCAGCCGGGGTGGAGTGCAGTCGTCGCCGGGCCTCGCGCTTGCGCTTGGCCTCCGTGGCACGATCGTCGTCCGCGGTGTTGGCCCGCCGGCGCCGTTTACATCGCTGGTTCTGCTCTCGGCGGAGGCTTTCCGGGTGAGCGATGTACTCTTCTTTGGCAAGGGAATCTGAAGAGCTCGACGCAGTGGAAGTCGAGGCGACAGCGGCTTTGCGGCGGTTGCGGCCCCATTCGCGCTGCTGCGTACGTCGCCGCTCCTTCCACAGCCAGTCTTCTTTCCCCGAAAAGGAGCGCGGCCAACCCATCCTAAGTCCAAACTGAAACTGATAAGAGCGCAGGAAACAGCTCGCAAAACAGACGAGGTCGAAGAAACACACGTAACGAACGCTGCGCTCGTTGCGTGTGGTTCTTCTTTGTCGTCGTCTGTTTTTCGTGCTGACTCCTGCGATGAATTTCCACCAACGCCGCCCAGCTATCCATTCTTCTACGATGGCTGCCAACGCTGGAAAGGTTGCCGCTATCTACGAGCGATGGTGGCAAGCAGACTGGTTGTGTGCTTGCCGCCGTCGCGTATAGATGGCGATAGCTGTCCAAGTAGGTTTGTCTCGACAGGCGTTTGATAGCGGACACGATCCTGGGGAACCTAGCCCTTAACAGCACCGTTGTAAAAAAAAGGTACATCCTTCTATCCCATATAATGCACCCCAAAACGTCAGTTCGACGTACAGCGCACGATAAGTAGCTAAAGTGCGTATGAAAAACCCCAGAAAGAAAACACTGAGATTTTGAAGTAGGGCCAAGAAAACCCCGATTTTTTTTTTGTAGTTAGTAGCACTTCCACTCGCTATTTTAATTAGTTGTACCACACGGCTATCAAGCCTCTCGTTAAAGTTAGTACCGTCAGATTGACGTCAGTGCGCTGTACATGGAACTTAAGTCTTGGGGTGTCTTATTTGAAACAAATGGTTTAAGAATACACCCTTTTTCTTCTGAGAGTGTTGACGTACAAACAGTGGCAGGTTGATGTTTTTTTCCGGGTGCTTAGACTGCGTAGCCATTGAAGCGTGGTGATACCAACCAGCCTTCCCCCCGATTGCTCAACGTGTTATCGATTTTCATTTTAAACTTTATATGTTGACCTGGAAATCTTCGATGAATTTCGGTGTTCCGCCTCTAAGTCCACATTTCTTCTCTCGTGCTGAGGGCAATATCTTTGATACCGGAAAAAATTTTGGCTCCTTTCAAGCCCATCAGATTACAAAGGGGAAGTAGCTTTTGCGGATCTCACGTCTTGTCCCGGCTGAGAACGACGTGTCCTGCGTACATTACATTCGGCCGTCTGCCTGTCAGTGAAGACAATCATCTTTTTTTACCTTTTTTACGCCGAGAGGCACCTGCTCTGCAAGAAAACTGCCTAAAAATGAGCTGCAGAATAGCTTTGGCGCTAAATGAATGCGATGGTTTCGCTCGCACGTTGTCTTTCGTATGTAGAACTGTTTGTTTTCTGCATTCTCGAAACGCCAAAATGAGTCACGTTCTTCGGCAGTGCATATTTTCACCTGTTTTATAGTAATTGCAAGGCAGTTCAGTGTTTCCAAGAAAAAACCGCATCATTAGCCGGACTACTCATCATGGAACGAGAGCGGTTATTAAAGGGATACTACAACGAAATTTCGGCGCTCATTTTTTGGTCTATATGTGTTCAAAGGAGCAGCATCACATCGAACATACCAATATCTTGTTAAAAAAAGTCACGAAAAGGAATTTTAAAATGAATTAAACGATTAGCAAAGAGCACCTGGTGGATGTCGCTAACGCCCCGTTTGTGATGCCAGTCTAGGAACCTTGACAGCTAGTGACGGAGGTTGTCTTGCCTCTGACCGCGACGAAAGAAAAGGGGCAGGAGGAACTCCCCTCTTCCCGAGAATGCCGTTTGTGTGTCGCAGAAGTCGCTATTGTACCCCTACAAGATTACAGAAAATTAACCCGTCACTCAAAATTCGTACAAAAGCAGCCGCCTCGGTGGCTGGAACGACTAGGCCATCCTCTCGACGTCAGCCTCACCGTAGCTTTGCTCGTCCTAAGACGACCTACGTCACGATTGCGTTGGATGTCACGTGGTCTCCGCTGGGCCTTCTCCGAGCGCTTGCCAGAGTGGGCCGTTTATAACGAAAAATACAGCCACCAGGCTCAAAGTACAAACGTGCGATTGCCATTTACGGATATTGTGGATCATATTCAACCTATTTGTGAACACGACGGGAATATTTCAAATTTCATTGAAGTATCCCTTTAAGCCCTGCCACGGTACAGCAGATGTTGATGAACAACGAGCGAGAGAGCGTTTCAGCATCCAATTTCATCGTAGTTGCAAAAACGCGCGAGACGACGTAGCCGCGCGGGCACGTTGGGCGACAACAATTAACAAAACGATTCTATCTTTTTTGCTTTTATTTTTTTTTTTGGAGCGCGTTTTTGGGTAAAGACAACAGCAGTTTTACAAGTGGGAACGAGGCATCAAGCCACTGGTTCCATCACTGTTTTCGGCCGTGCATGTCGCCAGCGAGAACTAACGTGTGAGACAGTAACAGGATAAACATTTCTAAATCAATCTCAGTGATATAGGAGGCATCGGCCTAATTTTCAGATCTTTCAACACATACGAGATCGACGCAGGCGTAACTTTAATTAACAGGAGGAGACACGCTCTTGAGAGTCTCGCGCGCGCAAACCCGCTAATGAACTCACGCTCGCGCAGAAGGATTGGAGATCTTATAAGGGATCGCGGCCGGGGCGACATAGCAAAATAAAGTGGCGAAGTCCGCAGGTTATATACACCTTTAAAGAACGAGAATTACAAAGGCCTACAGCCAGATAACTGTTTCCAGAAGGGGGTCAGCGTTATCAGAGAATTTTGACACGGGTGGACCTCAGAGGTAGGGGACGGTCAGGACACCTGGTCTTCCCCTCTGAATGCGCCTCTGCATGGAGCCATCGCGAGCGATGTTTGTAACTAGTATGAGCAAAGCCCTGATTTTCTAATTTGTTTTAAGGATGATGACAATCCTCACAATTACGAGTGCTTCGGACGTAAATGTGGGCGATCATTGTGCACTCTTAAGCGCTGGAAGCATTTGATTACACTATATTAGCCGGTTCGGTCTGTGGATGCCAATGTTGTCACCGTCGACACTAAAGTC